AGGGGCTAAATTGAGAATTGATTAAAATAATAAAATATCTTCCAAATCACTGCAAACTCATCATTTACAGTCATTGAAAAATTACTTCTATTTTATTTTTATTTTTTTCCATTATCATTATCTTCTCTCTATATTTAATAACCAAGAACATTATCATTTGTTGATGTAGGAACATATGAGAAATAAATAGATAAATAAATTATATGACAAAAAAAGAAGAAGATAAATAATGCTAAAAAAAATTATGACAATTAAAATTCAAAATAAAAAATGAGAAAAATCATCAATGAAAAGTAAAAAATAAATAAATTACAATAACCTATCCAATATTATAAAATTACAAGAATTATCTATATGCTTGAATATTTAATAAAAAAATACCCGTTTTAAAATTAAAAAATATAAAAAAACCCTCATACATAAAATATCAATATATTAAAAATCATCCCCTTCAATATATAATAAGAAAAATCTCAAAATGTTAAGGAATTTCCGAATACAATAGGAGGTTTTGATAATATTTTATAATTAACTTTTAATTATATGGTCTCTTAATCCCTTCATACCTCAAGTTAATAAATTATTACAATTTACCCTAAACACCATACTATCCTTGGTCATTTTCAAAATAATTAATTTAGCACAACCCATAACATCCTTCAACTAGCATATGATATTGAAAAGCTAACCTATGATATCTCCTAACATATCCATTCTCCTTGTTTTCTCAAAGAAATATTTATTTTACTATAAAGTTTTCTATGCCAGCTGGCATTAATATATTTGTTGACTTCAAGTGGTTTACGTTCTCCTAGACACCCCAACTCTTTTCCTTTGTACCAATGGTCATGTGTCTACTATAGTTAGAATCAAAAGCATTATTGAGAAAACTGTTAAAAATTTTAAATAGTTATAATATTACTCATTAAATGATGAGAACTAGGAGGATAATATTAGTAATGATAATTTATTATTTAATATTAAATTTATTAGAAATTGAGTGTTGTTATTTTTTGATGTATATTGTTTTTGATATAATAATCCTTATGATAATATTTTATAATTAACTTTTAATTATATGGTCTCTTAATCCCTTCATACCTCAAGTTAATAAATTATTACAATTTACCCTAAACACCATACTATCCTTGGTCATTTTCAAAATAATTAATTTAGCACAACCCATAATATCCTTCAACTAGCATATGATATTGAAAAGCTAACCTATGATATCTCCTAACATATCCATTCTCCTTGTTTTCTCAAAGAAATATTTATTTTACTATAAAGTTTTCTATGCCAGCTGGCATTAATATATTTGTTGACTTCAAGTGGTTTACGTTCTCCTAGACACCCCAACTCTTTTCCTTTGTACCAATGGTCATGTGTCTACTATAGTTAGAATCAAAAGCATTATTGAGAAAACTGTTAAAAATTTTAAATAGTTATAATATTACTCATTAAATGATGAGAACTAGGAAGATAATATTAGTAATGATAATTTATTATTTAATATTAAATTTATTAGAAATTGA